TCTGCAGTGGGGAGGCTTAAAGTGTGTAAGCAGTCTGTCCCTCAAATACTCGGTGTAACTTGTAGTTAGCAGCACACTGGGGACAATTTAAGAGCATCTTATAAAAAGGAATGCAACTTTTCAATAGACTCCAGTTGCTGCTGAGCTGTGTAATGTGGCCTGCCATATAGGGTGCAGGGAAGAATTTGTCCTGTTTGGAGTCACAAAACCAATGGGAGCAGTTGTCCTGTCCCTTTTCTAGGGCTTTTTTTCCCCCTGAAGTCTGGCAAGCTTCCCATGGAAAATCCATGCCTAAACCTCCACATCCGGGGTAGAGTTGTGGTGCAACTACAACAGGGATATTGCACAAGGCTCTTTTGTTGCTCCTTTCAGCACAGTAAACGAGAAGTTGCTGACTTTCTGGCCCGTATGACCAGTCATGCTTGCACCTGCCTACCTAGAGCGGGCTCACTAGAGTCTGGCATTGCAGAGTGGGGAGGAAGCATACTTTATAAAATAGGAGCTCTCAGATGGTGCACAATAAATATAGACTAATTTTGAAAGTGATTTTTAACCCCTCTGCACTTGTATTCTCTTTCAGGAGAGGTAGGGGGAAGACATACCGTGGGGACTGGGCAAGGTAGTCCATCTCTGGTGGTACCCAGGTAGTAGAAAGGTACCCGGACTGCACATGAGCTAAACTGAAGATGCCCTCAGTCATTAGATTCCACATTAGCCAGGAAGAAAACCCCCCGCTGTGGCATGTCCTCCCTTGCAGGTGTGCCACATCCATTCCCAACATCACCGAAGGAGAAGCTGAAGGGAGCTGAAAGGTGCCCAGGAGAAAGAAAATAGCAACAGTGATCATGCCCCTGTACCTGGTGCTGGTGAGGCTGCACCTCGAATACTGTGTTCAGTTTTGGGCCCCTCACTACAAGAAAGATGTTGCATTGCTGGAACATGTCCAGAGGAGAGCAACAAAGCTGGTGAGGGGTCTGGAGCACAAGGCTGATGGGGAGTGGCTGAGGCAACTGGGGGGGTTTAGCCTGGAGAAGAGGAGGGTGGGGGGGGGACT